CTCCAAACTCCTCCCACGCCCGGGTTTTTGCCTCAGTGTCCACCAGAGCCGCAAGCCGCTTCGCCCGCCGGTACCCATCAGCTACTTCTGGAGTCCCGTAGGCCAGAAAGGCCCGATAGGACTCCTTCTTCAGCTTGACAGCATCCCTCACCGAAGGTGTCCACCAACGGGTTCGAGGGTTGCCRCCGCGACAGGCACCGACAACCTTGCAGCCGCAGCTCCGATAAGCCGCCTCGCCAATGGAGTCACGGAACATGGTCCATTCAGACTCAATGTCCCCCGATTATGATTTAAGACATTTAAAGATAATTAATGCCTTATTTTTGATTGATGAATTCAATGCCTTTTAATGCTTTTTAAGGATCTACAGGAACCCTGCTGCTGGTGGTTTTATTTAAACATTTATTTAAGAAGCAGATGGAAAGGAAATAAAAAGGACCCCCCCACTCCTCCCCCTTTAGCTGATGGTAAAAATGAGGATAAGTCCATGTGGTGAAATAAAAGCTAAAGGACGAGAGGGAAGGAAAGGTTCCACGCTGAGCGATGCATCGTGTCCTACCTGGAGGGCAGAGCGCTCCACAGCCCATGTCTCTGTCTGCGTCCCCCCAGCCTCCAGCATCCTCTCCTGGCTGGCAGCAGCAGCTCATCGCCCACAGGCTGAGCGCTCCCACCGCCTCAACATCACGTCCCAGAACTTGTTTTAGATGAGCTAAATGTAAAACCCTGATCTGGGAGCACACAGACGCTCTAACAGCCTCCTGACGTCTCCTTTTTTTCCCCCCTCTCCTCATCTCATAGCTTCCTTCTCGTTTCTCATCCTTTACGTCCCTTCTAACCTTTTTTTTTCTTCTCTTCCGGTCATTACAGCAGTTCCACCCCCCCTCCTGTATTTCTGCTCGGCACTCGCAGCCATAAACGTCTCACAGACTTAAATTTATTCGGTCATCAGTGCAACAGCGGCCAGCCCACATTTTCCATCAAATCAGTGGAGCACCGTGCAGACGTCCTGCACACCGCTCTCTATATTTATAATGTGATTGCACGCGTGTCCCATGAAGAACTGCTACTTAAACTTAGAGGGGGCTCAGCTGTGCAGCAGCATCCTGACTGACAGAAAGTAATCATCCAGCCGAAGGCGACCTTTCTCGCTCAGATAAAACCTGGCCTTCAGCAGCAAATGTCATCTGAGAGCTGCTGCCTTTTCAAAGCAGCCCTGAAATGAGCATTTAGAAGGACTTCGATGAATTTTCCTATTTATACAACAACATCCCCGGCTGTAACAATCCTCCGCTGATCTCTGCCAAATGTTTAGACTCTTGCAGTTGTCGGTGCTTTTTAGCTTTGTTTTTTTTTGCATCACCTGGCTTAAATTAGACTTAAAAACTTTAGGCGTGGAACATACTGCCATTGTCCGTTACTACCAGACGCAAGTTTGTTTTCAGTCGTTTTTTTTATCAACAAGTCTTATTTATCAACAAACACAGAAATCTTGTGTTGACTTCACATGAAGCAACCGCTGAGTTACGCAATAATGAGGTTCTGCTGTGGAATGTAAACACTTGAACACAAGAGATGTATTTTTAGCTGAAATGATGACAAGACTTGACTTTTGTTCACATACATGAACGCTGCAGAAATTAACCATCTAAAGTAAGTTAAAATACTAGACTAGTCTGAATCTTTTCAAATTAAGTGAAATAATCTGTCGGTGCAGTGTATGGAAGCCCATTTCCGCCACCCTGATAAAATAAAATAAAAGCTGTATCTCAGAATTATGACTTAGCTATTTCATAATTATGAGATACTATCTCATACATCTGTGCGCAATGTTTCGAAGCACAACAGCACAGGTTGGTACACTGACATTCACAAACATCTGACTGACTTAAAATAAACATCTGACACCATCGGGGCACCCTAAGCAGCATCCTCATGCCATCATTATAAGCAACCTGAAGTTTATTCATACTGCTTTTCCTGTAACGCCGCCATGAGTAAGATTAGTTAGATTATTTGATATTTTAGTTACCAAGATTAATTTTAATGGACTTTGTTGTTTTTAAACTTTGCAGCCAAAGATTAAAGACTACAAGATAAACAGATAAACTGCTGTATGATTTATGTATATTTTTATTGTTTAAATGCTTCATAGCATTCAGATAATTTAGACCATTTTTTCTTCCGTACATTTTTCGGCATCCAACTTGTTCCACAATTTTTGTGCTGCTTCAACAATTCATTTTTCAAAACGTTCAGCTCATTTGTGCCAAGGCTGCTCTGATGTTCTGATATTTCAGCTATTTATACTTTTTTAGCTATTTCACTTTTTTCCCCCCCATTGAAAATGACTAAAGCTGTTTTCAACATCCTTAACACCCTTCAAAATGTTTTTAAATCTTTACAGCACCTTACACATTTTGTTCTGCTTCTGCTCTTTTTTCCACTTTCTTGTGACAATTTTAGCTACTTTCTTTGCTAATTTGAGCTTTTTTCTGCTATTTCAGCTAAAMTTCTGCTTCTTTCTGACATTCTTCAGCTTTTTTCTACATTTTTCTGCCACTTTGTGCTATTTATGTTTCTTACAGATACTTTTTTCTATATTCAACTATTTTCTGCAATTTTAGCTACAGTTTAGCTGTTATTAGCTAACGTTTGTAGCTATTACAACTTATTTCTGCTAAATTCAGCAAACATGCTTCTTAAGATTCTTTACGGTAAGTAAAAAAAATTCTAGCTACATTTTAGCTGTTTTACAAAAACTTTCAGCAATTTTAGCTACTATAAATTGAAACTTTTTTGCATTTTTTTCTTCTAATTTTAAATATTTTTTACACAACTTTCACTGTATGGGTGTTAATTACAACTTCCGTATGTTGCGGGTGTTTCGGAGAAACTGAGACGTTTATTTTCTAAACATGATGTCCCAGTGGCTTTCAAACCCCAAAACACATTACGGCAAAGGCTAGTTCACCCCAAAGATCCGGTGCCCCGGCACAAACAGAGCAATGTTGTATATGCTGTTAAGTGCCAGGAGGACTGCGACCAGTTATACATCGGGGAAACAAAGCAGCCACTGTTCAAAAGAATGTCCCAACACAGACGATCTACATCTAATGGCCAGAACTCTGCAGTTTTCACTCATTTACAGGCCAGCGGTCACTCTTTCAGAGATGAGGATGTTCTCATTCTTGATAGAGAGGAACGTTGGTTTGAGAGAGGAGTAAAAGAAGCCATTTTTGTGAAGAAAGACCATCCATCATTAAACAGAGGTGGAGGCCTCCGTTTTCAGCTGTCCCCCTGCTACAGCGCTGCTATTGCCGGTATCCCTCCACCCCCTGTTAACAATAAGTGTTAATTTGGTGTCAACGATAGCCATGTGATGTGAGTATCAGTCACATGGAGGCAGGGCTTAAAGCCTGAATTTTGCCTGAAACTCTCAGACTGAAGAAGTCTCTTGGAGGAGAGACGAAACGTTTCATTAGAGAAGAACCCGTTCAGAAGACCTATACAATTTTTTTCTTTTTGATTTTTTACCTGGATTACTGAGATGCATCAGGACATTAATTACAACGTGTGGCTGCTACCTTTAGCTGATTTTTAGGGTAATTTTAGCTTTTTTAAAATACTTTTTCAGCTTTAGATCTGCTTCTTTCTGCTATTCTTCTAATGTTTTCAACTTTTTTCTGCTAATTTGTGCTATTTATGCTTCTTACAGACGTTTTCAGCTACATTCAGCTATTTTAGCTTTTAGCTGTTTTCAGATGTCAACTAGACTTGTTTCTTTTTACTGTTTTTCTGCAAAGTTACGCTTTTTTTTTTTGCTTTCAGCTTTTCAAAGTGAGCTCACATCAACACTTTTGCTAGAAAATATTTTCAGCTTAAGTTTTCAGTAATTTCTGTAGTTTTTTATAGTATTTAAACAGGCTGTAGGTTTAAGGCCTGTGTTTACTGTTGGCCTCATTCCTGTCTTCTTCCAGCAACACTTTAATGCCTTACATGGATACAGAAACAGCCCGCGGCTATAAAAACACAGACAAGACACCACAGGTTACATTTTAGCTGCTTCTTCTTAGCTGAACTCAAAAACTGACGCTGGCTCCGTGTTTCTGACACATCCCCAAACTTCTACTTACTTTTGACGCATTTAAAAGTGAAAAACTGAGCAGTTTTAGGTCGTAAAAGATGTGATTAGCTTCACAAAGCGGGCAGAAAACCCAGCCGAATAACTCCTGGAGTGTTTATTAACACCGGCTGTTTTACCTTCTTTAGCTTTTTTCCTTCTCGCCAAAGTCCCACCAAGTTTTCCCAGGAAAGAGTCATCTTTCTTCCTGGAGGACGGAGATTTGGGCGTCGGGGATTTCGGAGAAGATGGAGACTTCTGAGGCGAAGAAGCCATCGTCCTGGCGAGGAGTTGACCCGGGTTAACGCAAACCGGCCCGAGCTAACGAGGAAACTTAAAGTAGGCTAGGATTAAAAAGAGAAACAGCGGGGAGGAAAGGGGAAAAGAAGAATCTCCGTCCACTCCCTAAAGCGGAAACGGAATTCCAGACATTTTTCACCCGAGGTTGGCTGGAGTGGGAAGCCCCGCCCCCTCAGAGGAGGAGAGGCTGACCGCTGCCGAAGTTCGGCTGCCGAACATCCGGCCGGTCTCACAGCTGCTGACTGCCGACAGGACAAAACACGGAAGCATTAATAAATAAATAAATAAATAAATAAATAAATAAATAAATAAATAAATAAATAAAAAGATGAAATGTTAGGATGAGTGCTAAAGGGGTTTGTTGAAGAAGCGAAAACTAACATAGGAGACGCTAGGGCTACAAACATTAGCTAAAGCTAAATGTAGCGTTAATGGATCATTTCCACATCTATGGAGTTTTTTGTTTAGGAAAAGATGGGCTGGAAACGTTTAGCTTAATATCTGTTAAATCAGCTGATTTATTTCTAAATTGTGTTTCCATCTTGAATCGAGTTGACTCAAAGTGAATTCTTAAATCCATCCGGTGCTTGATGAGAAATACATTTTTACACTCAATATGAATTAAGGAGCTTTGGGTGAACTAAATGCATCCATTACAATATGGAGCATTTTATATGCATTTTCTTGCATTTTTATCAACGCAGCAATTTCAACACAAAAACATGTAAAAACTTTTTTCTGTTTACTCTGTATTCTGTGGAAACACCGTTCTGCCGCTCAAAAGAAATAATTTGTCTAACGGTACGTCAGAATTATGAGAGTCAAAGTCATAATTTCAATTTTGAAAGTCTGAATTATGACTTTGAATCTCATAATTATGACTTATTAGACAAATTATTTCTTTTGCGTGGTGGGATTGGGCTTCCACAGTTTGCTGACTCAGCATTCATATTTGTTTCCTTGTTGAAAGTTATTTGTAGACATTTTCAGCAAACCTTCAGTTATTTTTACCGCTGAAATATAAAGAAAAAAAAGCCAAATATATTTTAAACACTTGAATATCAAAGCTCATCCAGGAGATTGATGCTGAAATTTGGTATTTGTAACATTAATACTTTTGAAATATTTACCTTTTTAAAAATTGAAATTAAGTTTTTTTAGCCACTATAGTTGTGTTAGCTACCATTTTTGCTAAGACTAATATTTCAGCAAATTTAGCTTTTATGTATTTTTGTGCATTGTGTGTTAATATTAGCATTTTTCTAGTTTTGTTGCTTTTAGGTTTCAGCTGCAGTTTTGCTCATTTTAGTTTTTTTTTCTGGAAAAACATCACCCTCTTTCCACCCTCCTTACTACTCTTTTACTTTTGTTGTGCCAATTAAAATGTTTAAGCTACTGGTTGCAGATTTTAAAAACAGTTTCTTTCAACAATTGCTGCAAAGTCATTAAACAATCACAGGAAATGTTAATATTTCTAATTTTTTAATCTTTTTTCCAATGTTCTGGTAAAAGTGAAACATTACAGACGTACAGCTGCAGTGGCCAACAGTGATTTATGCAACACATTTTATGGAGTCGTTACAAAGATTTGAAATTATTTACACTTCAAAACACTAAAACTCTCAAGTTGAAGTGCTGAGTCATGTTAAATGTTCTCCAGTGAAGTAATACTTTCAAATAAATAAGTCCAGTCTTCAGTGTACCGAGCAGACAGACGGACTCCTTTTCTTTTCCTTTGGTCTTCAGTAAACTGACCAGCAGCAGAACCACTTGAAGCTTTAAGGCCTTTCCATCACAACAGGCTGGTGCTCAGACACCAAACAACCAGGTATGGGATCAATCTTGTGCCAGCAGGAACTGAATTTAAGTTGTTCAGATTGAATCTGAATGTGCATCATTTCAAATTGAATGCATTGGTTTGAAAATAAATTTCACTAAATTGAAACTGAATTTATTTTTTTGGATTTGAACTAATTTGCTTTGAAACTGTATTTTGGTTTATTAAAAATTCAGTTGGTCTTCTTTCACTTTCAGTTCCATAATTCAGATTTTTGTGTCACATCCTGGTCCTTGAGGAAGCCAGGCAGAGTAATCAAACACAGATCCACAGATTTATGTTTCACTTTGGTGAAGTTTCTCTTCTATAATGTCATTTACATCCCATCATCGATCACATATTGATCAGACGCTGCTGCTGACCGATCCATGATGTGATGTAAATGTAACATTTTCTACATATAGGTCGAATTAATCACTGCAATAAAATAACTTTGTCTGTTTTTGTCACTTTTACAGTGGATTGCCTGAACTCTGTTATATCCAGAAGGGAAACTTCACCAAAGTGAAACATAAATCTGTGGATCTGTGTTTGATTACTCTGCCTGGCTTTCTCGAGGACCAGGATGTGACACAAACATCTGAATTATGGAACTGAAAGTGAAAGTAGTCGAACTGAATTTTTAACTAGAGAAATTGCATTTCCTGCAAAAATGTTAGTGTGAATGCTTCATGCTGAAAACTTAAACTGAAGCTTGAGCTGAAAATATTTTATAGTAAGTGTTAATATGAGCACACTTTGAAAAGCTGAAAGAAGCAAAAAAAAAGTGTAACTTTGCAGAAAAACAGTAAAAAGGAGCACAAATCTAGTTGAAAACAGAAAACAGCTAAAAGCTAAAATAGCTAAATATAGCTGAAAATATCTGTTAGAAGCATAAATAGCAGTAGGTAGCAGAAAATTGCACAAGTAAAATTAAGAAGAATAGCAAAAAGAAGCAGATAGCTAAAGTAGCACAAATAAGCTAAAATTAGCATAAAATAGGCTAAAGGTAGCAGCCACAAGTTGAAATTAGCGCCCAGATAGTGTTTTAAAAATTGTAAAACTAGCAGAAAAATTGCATGCAAGTACAAAAAAGTGATAATTTGTAGTAAAATGGCTAAAACAGCTGACATTTTCAGTAAAACAGCTAAAAAGTAGCTACAATTTAAATTAGCCTAAGGAAGCATAAGGAGCACAAGTTTGCTGAACTTAGCTGAAAAAGTTTTAATAGCTACAAAAATGTGTATTTAGCTTAGAAAAACTAACTTTATCTAATAGCAGCTAAGCATTAGCTAACATTTCAGCAAATAGCTGAATATAGCAGAAAGCATCTGTAAGAAGCATAAAAAGCAGAAAAAAGTAGAAAAAGGCAGAAGAATAGCAGAAAGAAGCACAATTTTAGCTGAAATAGCAAAATAAGGAGTTAAAATTAGCAAAAACGTAGCTAAAATTAGCACAAGAAATGTGAAAAAGAGCATAATCAGAACAGAATGTGTAAGGTTCTGTAAAGATTTAGAAAGATTTTAAAGGATTTTAAGGATGCTGAAAACGGCTCCATTCATTTTCAATGACAAAAACGTGGCTAAAAAAGTGAAATAGCTAAAAAAGTATAAAAAGCTGAAAAACCAGAAGTCATAGCACCCCTCATATGAATGAGCTGAACGTTTTGATATTTGAATTGTTGAAATAGCACAAAAATTGTGGAACAAGTTAGATGCCGAAAAATGTACGGAAAAATAAATTATCTCAATTGTATGAATGATATGAAGCGTCACACAATAAACCAAAATACAGTTTCAAAGCAAATTAATTCAAATTCCAAACTTTAAATTCGGTTTCAATTTAGTGAAATTTATTTTCAAACCAATGAATTCAAGTTTCAAATGACGCACATTCAGATTCAATCTGAGCAATTCAGATTAAATTCCTGCTGGCACAAGATTTATCCCATAACCAGGTCTCACTCCAGCTTCTCCGAGCCCCAGAGGTCATCGTTGTCAGCCCAGCGAAACTCGTAGCCTTTAGACAAGATCAGACTCTCCAGGTCCCGGTCCTCGGCCTTCTCCCTCAGCCTCTGCTCCTCCAGGATGGACACCAGCATGTCCCTCTTCTCCACCGTCCTCATCATCTCTGCCAGGATCTCCTGCTCCTTCCGCAGGTCAGAGGCACTCTTCTCCGAGTCTGAAAAGAAGGTGGAAACAGGAATGAACCTGCGCTCACTGGATCCGACTGTAACAATATAAAAGGCCTTACCTTCAACTGACATCCGGCGCCTCAGATCCTGCTGCAGCCGGCTCTGGGTGTCCTCTAACGCCAGCTCCTGAGCACTGAGACACAAGAAAAACTAGCTTCACACAAATTTAAATACGATTCCTGTGATGAACATCTAGAATCTGTTGCCGCTCACAAGATCATGAGCTCTGACTCGTAGCGTGCCAGTCTGTTCTTCTCCAGAACCAGCTGAAACCAGGCCTGGTAGAGCTGGGCCTCGTCGCGGTCCTCGGTCTCAGGAGCGTCTGGCAGAAAGGAAACAAAACGAGCGAAGAAGAAGAAGAAGAAGAAGAAATGAAGCAGATTTTGACCACAGGACGTCACTATTCACTGGCACCAAAACAAAGCTCTGCTCTGTGAAAAGATGAAGTCACAATGAAGTGTGTGTCGGCTGCAGACAGAGGCTTCAAACAGGCCACGCTTTCCTCTGAACGCAGAGGAGGACCGTACGGACGGTGCAATTAAAAAGCAGGAGAAGAAAACAGGCAGCTTTGAGCTGCGTTAAAGGGATCCACCATTAGTTGTAACATTAAACTTTATTTAGTAAACATATATTTTAACTGTAAAATAAAGACTGTAAAAATACTGTAGGCTGTTTAGTTTTTATCTTTTTTAAACTAAAAGTTTAAAAATATATTATACGGATGGAGCCATTTTATTTACACACAAAGCATTCTGGGTAAATGATGACGTGGATAGGTCCTCGGTGCGAGGCTGCTAGCGAGCTATATCCACCCTGAAGGTTAATCTTGGACAATATCTGATGATCGACTCTTTTAAATGAAACCAGAGAGCGTTGACAGAGAGGAGAAGGTAGAAATGACTCAGCCTGGAACTGAAAATATGGATGGAGGACAACAGAGCTGCTTCATGGAAGAACAACCTCAGCTTAGCCTGTTAGCTTTAGTGTTAGCCTTGACGCTATCACCATATATATGTATTAGCTCAGCACTACATATTCTCCTCTCGTTACTGAGGTCCTCCATCCACATGACAGAGAGGGGAACACAAAAATGACTCAGCTGCAACTGAAAATATGGATGGAGGACCTCAGTTTAGCTTGTTTGTCATGCTAGTGCTGAGCTAATACATATAAGGCAATATAGCGTCTGCGCTAAAGCTAACAGGCTAAGTTGAGGTTCTTCTTCCATGAAGCAGCTCTGTTGTCCTCCATCCATATTTTCAGTTCCAGGCTGAGTCATTTCTACCTTCTCCTCTCTGTCAACGCTCTCTGGTTTCATTTAAAAGAGTCGATCATCAGATATTGTCCAAGATTAACCTTCAGGGTGGATATAGCTCGCTCACACCGAGGACCTATCCACATCATCATTTACCCAGAATGCTTTGCGTGTAAAAAAAATGGCTCCATCCGTGTTAAAATATATTTTTAAAAATACAAAACTAAACATCCAACAGTATTTTTACAGTCTTTATTTTACAGTTAAAATAAATGTTTATCAAATAAAGTCCAATGTTACAAACTAATCGTGGATCCCTTTAAGATGTTTCAGACTTTAAAAGCAGTGGTTCTTGCAGAACTTGTGTGTACTGCTCAGTACCTTCTCCTCTCAGGATCTTTTCTATCGTCACGCCCCTCTCCTCCAGATCCCTCTGTTTCTCCTCAACTTCCTCCAGTTGTCTCTGAATGGCCTGCAAACGTGTATCATCAGTATTAATTCAGACAGGGAATCACAGGAAATTACAATATTTGATTAAAAAAATAAAGATAAAATATTCAGTAAATAAGGAAAAAAGCAGCACCTGAGCTCTGTGAAGTCTCTTCAGCTGCTCTCGTTTTGCCTGCAGGGCGGCCATCTTTTCCTGCCTTTCCTTTAGTCTGTCTGAAAAAAGCTGAAACAGGAGGAGCGGAACTTATCAAACATGGTGAACGGGATTTAGTATGGGATAAATCTTGTGCCAGCAGGAATTTAATCTGAATTGCTCAGATTGAATCTGAATGTGCATAATTTGAAACAGAATGCATTGGTTTGAAAATGAATTTTACTAAATTGAAACTGAATTTAAAGTTTTTAATTTGAATTAATTTGCTTTGAAACTGTATTTTGGTTTATTAAAAACTCAGTTTGACTACTTTCACTTTCAGTTCCATAATTCAGATTGTTGTGTCACATCCTGGTCCTTGAGAAAGCCAGGCAGAGCAATCAAACACAGATCCACAGATTTATCCCATAATTTAATCTCTGTGATAAAACACCTGCACGCACCATGTGACTGGACGTCAGGTCCTCGTAGTCGTCATCACTCGAGGACAAATCCTCAAGACTCTGCTGACTGGAGGCTGAAGACGGGAAAATTAAAAGAACAGCTATAATATTTGTAGGCGTCATTTGTAAAATTAAGATTTATTTAAATTTGAAACAAGCTGGTTTTAACATTTCTAAATAAAATGGAGAGGTCTATAAAGTACTTGAAAAAAATAACAAAGTAAACGTTTAATTACCTTAACAGAAAATGACTTTGGTAAAAATAAATGTCACTGATGAGAAAACTACATAAGTAAAAGTCATAAAACTGTAGAAGTAGAAGTAAAAGTACATTTCCACGCTCTCTAATAAAAAAAACTGTTAAATTTACAGAACCAAAGTGGCTCCGCAAAACCAAGTTGATTAAATTGGTCAATTTATTTAAAACGCAATACAGTATGTATATCGCCTAAAATTTACTCTACTAGGTTTAGTGGAAATAGTTGATATGATTTAATTGAGTAAATTCAACACTTAATTTGTTTAGAGCACGTAAACAAACTGCTTTCATGACGAGTTCAGATTTAATTTATAACAAGTATGTTAAACTTTAAAGAAGTAAAAGTATCATTTTTAGGTTTTAAACGTAACTAAGTAAAAGTAAAAGTCATGATTTTAAAAAATACTTGGTAAAATTGAAAGTCCTCAAAAAAACTTAAGTACTGTAACAAAGTAAAAGTACTTAGTTACTATAAACCTCTGATAAAAGCTCAGCTCAGTACCAGGAACTTGGAACAGAAAGCCCCTCTCACCTTTGTTCCTCAGGTTGGACAGGACCGTTCTGATTTCTTTCTGAGCCTCCTGCTCGTCGCCGCCACCCGTTGACCCCGCCCTCTTCCTGATGCGAATGCTTGAAAACAAGTCCACACTGTTCGGGGACAGCGAGCCCACGTCGTCCACGAACGACCCCTCGGATTCCCTGCGGCCCTTCAGGGACACCTGCTGCAGTAAGGAAGGGAGGTCCTGCCCCGCCCCCCACGGGTCCGAGCTCACGGACGCCCAGCGGACGCCGTGCACGCCGGTCCTCCTCCTCCCCTCTGCGGAGGACTCCGGAGCCACGGGGCAGAACGCTCCCTCAGACACGGGCCTGCGTTTGCGGGAGCCGTCACGTTTGCTTCTCCTGGAAAAAGGAACGACAGATGAGTTTCGTTTTCCCGGCAGAAGAGAAGTGGCGCCGGGTTTGAAGCGTTAAATACGAACATTACGACGGACGTGCTGGGGCTGCTGGAGCGAGCGCTCCCACTAAACGTTCTCCTGAAGACGCTGGACAGAGCCTGGAAGGCAGAGGCCGAGGACGCGGGGGCTTGGCTCTGGGATGCTGTTTGGTTTTGGCCGGAGTTCGTCTGGAGCTTATCTGCCTCTGCTTGAACCTGATAAAACATGAGAGGAAAGAAGAAAACGTGCTCAGCGGAACGTGGAATTGATTTATCTGTAAGATCTCAGTGTTGTGGGAGAAAGGAGTGCAGAACAAAGATATCCACGGTTAATCTGGGCTCCGCTGCCACACCTGCTCCTGACGCACGCTCGTGCTGCTGAAGGCACGCTCCTCTGGTGTCAGCCCCTCGTCCCAGTTCAGAAGCTTCTCCTTGTCGGCCTGGGTCAACGTTAACCGCTTCCTGTTGGAGGCCGACTTCTCTGCAGCTGAGGGATCAGAACTTTTCTCACTTCCCTTCCAACGATTCCTGGTGTCTGTTGATGGTTTAGAAATACCTTTGGCCTCCTAAGAAAACAGGCATGACTTCAGTGGGCAAAACTTTGGTTTTTAGATATTAAAAACACCGATTTCTGCCAATAATATTGGCAAAATGAACTTTTCAAATAATTTGACTGATGAGCTGCTGCACAAAGGAATGAAATGCGACTTACTGTGGAAACGGTTTCCTCACAGTCGACTTCAGGGACGGTCTCTGGTCTCTGTTTGTTCGGCTCAGTGTGAAAGTGTTTGACTAAGATCACAGGGAGCGCTAAGAAGAAACGTTAAGATGAAATACAACCAAAATAAGACAAATAAAGAAGGTAAAACATAAAGTACAGTAAAAAACTAAATTAAAAATAAATAAAAGTGTTACCTGCTGCCTTTTATGCAAATTCATCTTCTGTAAAACTTTACTTATTAAATAATGCAACACAATATTAATCTTTTTGTTGCCATTATTTTTTTATAAACAATGCAAAATAAATACCAATATGAACATTTTAAAATGTGATAAAAGCAAACACAGAGTGTAAAAGACACACTTGTGTGTATTTGTTAATACACACTGGATTTCCTCAGACATGCTGGAGAAAATGGTCAAAATGCTCCTTTGTTGATTCTGCAAGTTAATAAGTCAAAGATCCAGACTGGCTGTAAATAATTAAACTTTTAACACAGCTGCACAGAACAAGGCCAGCTTCATACAGAGGTTATTCTACAAAAACAAACATGAAGACAGACAGGTGACGTAAATAACCCCAATAAAACAAAAAGAAAAGGAAAGCTTAGGAACAGAAACTGAACACATTGAAAATAAACCAAACAAATAAAAAGGTGCCGATCCGGGTCAGACTGAGCAACAGTGACACCTAGTGTTGGACATGTGGTATGACAGCAGAGGTTCATTCTCCACACAACGATCCTCCAGCTGCTCACAATCATTTAGGTCATTTAGACTCGAGGGCAGCTGACAAATAACATCACCTCCTCCTTATTAAAACACTGAGCAGAACCAGAACCAACCCTGAGCAGGAACGGGTCTTTAAACGACCCGGGAGGAGGACACAGCTGGAGCAGAGGGAGAAAACTCAGAGGCACTCACCGGTGCGGATCTTTCTTTTCCATCGATTATTCTGTTTGACGTTACAGAGACCTGCAGACAACAGAACAATGTTAGCAGTTTACCTGGAGCTCCTCAGACTGAAGCAGCCTTTTTTAAACAAATTACCTGTCCAGAGGACAGACTCAACTGTTTATTTTTTTTATTTTTTTTTAATAAGAGTGGGCTGCTTTATTTATTTTTATTTATTTATTTTTTAAAGAAATGTTCATTTTAAACTTGAAGCTAAAAACAATAAAAAAGACTGGGTAAAGGCGTCACCCCCACAGGCTGTGTGGGGCTAAATTTAATGCATCTGAAGTAGGCCTGCACGATATTAGAAAATCTTGTGATCGCAATAAAATTTGTAAATATTGACGTGCGGTACATGCAGTAGACGTTAGAAACGGTATGAAGTTGGCCTACGGTAGAAAGTGACCCTTTGACCGTCCTGTCGTCAGTTACGTCATCACACCTGTGTCAACAGAGCTGCTTTATTCTGAGCAGAAATGAAGAAATAAAGTGTTTTAAAACACGAGAATAAATCCTCAAAGTTTCCCCCTCCTGCTGTAGGAATGTTACGTCGTGTCTCGGGATCATTTCCTCTCCTCCCGCTGCACGTCACGCAGAGCGAAGCTTTAACAACTGTAGTTTTTAACACACATGTTGTCGGAGAAAAACCTTGTTTTTATGTGTTGTTACCCACAGAGATGATAAAAAAGGACATTCGTTCAGTCATTAATCCATCTTCTGCTCTCAGAGCAGCAGAGGATCAGTTCAGCAGGCAGAAGCTCATTGTACGGCAGGCAGATGTTACATTTATTTGGCTTCACCACACTTACATTCCAGTTATGTGAAATTGTTTTATCACAGGACTACGTGTCACACTATAACATTTTAGACAACTTATGCCAACTTATAATATTTTTATGTCTAAATGACTAATTTTACTTTAAGTACTGGTTATAACATCCACTTTATTTTGATATTGTTGAAAATTTGAGAAATGTTTTTGTTTGTTGTTGAAACTGTTTTGCAATATATATAAAACCTTCTTTTAAACTTCTGTTAAGTTCATTTGCACTACAGCAAAAATGCTGGGTTTGATTAAGATTATAGTTTTCTGCTAAATAAATGCTCTAAAAATTACATTATTTTTGTTTTTTATGATCATTTTCTACAGTGATATATACAGTTACAGTGAAGGGATTCAATTTACACCCTGATATGAATTTGAGGTCATACCACCCAGCCCTAGTTGACAAAATTAGGTGCAATATACATCTTATTTGTTCTTTCCTCCCTTCCTAACCTGTACTTCCTACTATGTGACCTTTAGCATCTTTGATAATGTTATTTGTTTCTGATGCTGCCGTGATTCTCTGTCCTACTGGCTAAATATTGCATTAGCATGAAAAATACAACTTCAAAACTCTTCAAATTTAAACCGATATTGTGATGACGATATTTCCGCGATACATTGTGCGGCCCTAATCTGGAGATTTCAACATCTGAATTAAAAAAAAACATAACTGTTTCAGGCAGCTCTGCATTACAAACAAATGTTTGTAGTTGAAACAAAGAAACTCAGAAAAATTACTGCAGTTTATGACAGGATCCATAAAACCAATGCAGATAAGTTCTGTTATCTCTGAACTCCAAATCCTTTAAAGTGGACTGAAGAGATGTGGAAAAAGACTTGAGAGTCAAAATTTTAAAGTCTGTTTGGAAATAAAAGACAAAGAGAGAAGAAACCAGCAGAGAACCTACATTTTATCAAATAAATGAAATGTTTACATTTCTCCTTATTTGTTCTTTTTATGCAAAATTCACTTTTACTTTTCCATGTGTGACCCTTCAGACATCTCTTCTGCAGAGAGAGAAAATACTGTATATATATTTGGCTCAGTGTGGGAAAAAACCCAACTTCTCATTTCCCACCTTGGACTCAAACATCAACAGTGACTCAGTCATCAGTGTGCATTACCAATGCAATGCACACTATTGTGATTCGTTTCCCATCCAAGTCATCTCCTCATTGCCATGCTTCTCCTCCTGCATACTTTGTCCTAGAGCTGCCATTGTAATTTATATCTGTAAAGCCCCTGTGCCAAATGATGGCTATGCCTTTTGGTGCCTGTAAAACTTATAGTTTTTGAAATATTAATGTTTAATGAATTATAATGGCAGTCAATGGAGCCTTGTAATGGTCCAATACTGCCCCCTGCTGCATCTACACAATATGGTACTGCACCATAGTTTTATAATATTTAAACGCAGTAGTTCAGTGATGACAATATTAATATGATTGTATTTTGATGTTTTACTGTTATACTGTCTTTATGTTGTCATATTGCTGTAATATTTTGCACTTAAGTGTCAATAATTGCATTGGCAAGTAAACTTTTTCTGTAAACATACAATCCAATCCCTGGGATTGTCCTCTGCCACATCTCCTGTAGTCTCATGATGAGCACTGTGGGCTTTCATGTGGGAGATCAGGGTTCAAATCCAGCTACTGCTACTTTAACAAAAATCTCTTCAAACTTCATATTGTCACAGTTACCTTAATTACAAACACCTGCTGACGTGACAGGCACAAGCTGGTACAGAAAACATATTTGAACTTGGTCAAAGTTCATTCTGCAAGTCCAATGCTCCTGCCTACATTGTCCTACAGCTGCCATTGTAATTTATATCTGTAAAGGTCTTGTGCCAAATGATTGCTATGCCTTTTGGTACCTGTACAACTTGTAGTTTTTGAAATATTAATGTTGAAACTTTATTCCAAATTCATAAAATGGGAGTCAATGGGGCCTTGTAATGGTCCAATACTGCCCCCAGCAGTACTCAACTTGGTACTGCTCCATATTTTAATAATATTTAATCTCAACTGTTCAGTGTTTACAGTACTAATATGATGTATTTTGATGTTTTACTATAATACTGTCTTAATACTGCTCTATTGTTGTAATATTATGCAGTTTAGTGTCAATAATTGTATTGGCAATGTGGCCTCTTTCTGCACACATACAAACCAACCCCTGGCACCACCTTCTGCCACAGCTCCATTGGTCTAATGGTCTATGTCATGGACTTTCATGTGGGAGATCAGGGTTCAAAACCCAGCTGAAGCAGCTTCAACAAAATTCTCTTTAAACTTCATATTGTCACACAATTACCTTAATTACAAACACCTGCTGACTTGACAAGCACAAGTTGGCAGAAAACACATTTGAACTTGGTCACATTTCATTCTGCAAGTTCACTGCTGCAGGCAAAGCCATGCTGCAATGACATGCTACATGGCAATGCACACTTGTTTTTACATCATAAAAACCCATGTCTAGTTTAGTTTAATTCCAGCCATTTTAAGGTTCTCCCTCGGGGGGTTAAGCAACAAAAAGAGATTAAAAACTCATTTGAGAAGCACTGATTACGTAACACCTTAAAATAATAATTTTGAGTTGGAAGTAGGACATAGATGAGCTGCTGACCTCTGGTGCCGTCCAGGATTTGACCTTTGGCTGCAGCATCTTCTTCCTTCGCAGGTCCAACTATGCAGGAAGTTTCCAGAGCGTCGACAGCCAGCTCCATGTCCTCGGGAAACATCCTCTGACCCTCAGACCGCAGGCTGGTGGTCTCGCCTACAAAATCACAACAATGTGCTGGGATCAGATTTGAGACGATCTCAAACAGATATTAACTGTTGTCAAACCAAAACGTTGGGACGTTCGGTTAAATGTAAATAAAAACAAAATGCAGTGATTTGTGAATCTCATTAACCCGTATTTTTTCTCATAAACGAGCAGAGGAAACTCAGTTTTAAGAAAGTAATTTAAGTTTTAATTTGTCGGCAGCACATTTTTTTTAAAAAAGTTATGACATTTGCAACAAAAAGCTGTACACTTAATATAAAAAGGAAACCGCTGGAGCTGCTTCAGAGTGAGAAACCTGAAACAACTTCTTTGAATTTATAAATTATTACAATTTATTTTCAAAAAAGTTGTGCAACTTTTAAATTAACATAGTGTTTAAATGTTCCGTTTCGAGTTTATGAGATTTGCAAAATATTGCCTTACATTTATATATATATATATTTTATTTATTTTTACATTTTACTTTTGCAGAATTTCATGCATTTACCTTAACTTCTGCAAAACATTTTCATGGTAACTAATGAAAAAAGTATGAAAATGTATGAAGGTTTCAAATACTTTAAACAATTCTGTGCTGTAAAAGTTCTAAAAAAAGATACATGCTGATTAAATTAATAAGTAGGCCTACAGTAAAGAGTCTTCAAACTTCACAGAGCAGATATTTTATGTACAAAAACCACATATTCATGCGTACTCACAGAGTAATGAAGTCAAAAATGTACAGACGTTATTCCACTTCGTCACAGCAAAAAAAATAAAAAATAAAAACAAATAAATAAAAAAGGGAAAACAAGTCGGGATAAACTTTGAAGCTAGTAGATAATCATCTCTTAACATGTCTTTTACTGAGTGCTCTAACTATGGAGGACCAAAACTGACATAATTAGAATTTATTTTTAATTATAAAAATAATAATTTAAAAAGTTTAGGACACAGGTGTTTTCCTCCTTGCCTTTGCTTTAATTTGAACTTTATTCTAAACGGATGCAGCACAAGCATGTAGTAGATCTGCACATGGTTCCTGCTCCTTCCTGTCTGTTGACCAATAGTAGCGGAGCTGACCCAAGAAGCCCCGCCCACCTTATTTGCATAATGAGACAGAAATGCTTAAGGTAAAGTAAAAGGTGGCAGGAGACCGAGAAATGTAAAAACACATGGAAATAAGAAGACTTGTGGGAAAAACTATAAAAAAATTATTGAAAATAAATCATTTATGCATATACAAAAAACAGTCACATTTAAATTATACGCTAAAATATATAATTTGTTGGAACTAAGCTTAAAAACAAAATATGAAGGTCATGGAGGAAATTTCTCATTTTTTAAAATTTAATTGGTGCATTTTGAGTGAATTTATTTATTTATTGCTCCATTTATATATTTCTGCTTTTATTTTTAATTACGTCAGTTTCAGTCCTCCATATTTGGCTGCTTTTTTACAGAAGAAATGACATCAAACCTCAGAGGAAAGGACAGAAAAAGACCCACTCAAAGCCCATGATGGAGAAACTGACATGAGATTCACTTTAATTCTGTTCAGATGAAATTCTTTATGCTTTCCTGCCACTCCATTAAAAAACTCTGAACTGTGCATGAAAAGTCAAGTTGTGTAACAGCTGGTTGCAAACCTTTAGCTCGATGTTGGGCGTGTTAATTCTCAATAAAAGCTGTGATTATGAGTGTGATTGTTAGATCAACTTAGCACAGAGCTGAGGAAAATAATTTACCTTTCACTTAATTTGGTAATTAAATCACTAAATTGTGAGAATTTAAGCCGCATGCCACATAGTTTGAAATGTTTGGCAACAAACGACAACGCAAATAAATTGTATAATCAAATAAGATTTATTTAAGAATGTATTTACAGCTTCTAGCAAAAAATATTAAGCAAATTTTACAGATTTCTTTTCACTGAAGAAAACAAATCAGGCTGCATTGACACTTAAACACAGCTACAAAACAAAACAGTTAACTTTGGCAGTGTGCAAAATAAAAATCTGAGCAAAGACTACGAGGTACATGAGAGAGATCTGGAGAGGGGCGGAGAGGTGGGCAGGCCTCCTCCTGAAACAGAGGAAACCACAGACAGACACGTGGACACGTTGGGAGTCAAACGGACCTAAAAGAGGAGGATGCTGCAGCACGGCACCACGACGGTTAGAAAGACCACCCTGCACGATGCAACAACAAAGCAGGCAGCCAGAAGGCGCTGTGTGCGTTCATGTTTTTAAACATTTGCTGTGTTGCAACTTCATTTTAAAGATTTTTTTTTTTAAAACGAAGGGAGTGAACAAATCACATGAAAAGACCAAAATGAAAATTTTCTGGTCCTCTAATAGAATGCCTGGTCCAAGACCCAGCAGGCTGTAATCAGACACTGGCTCATGCGGTGTGGGTTTGGTTTTGGACCAAACAAGAGCCATGGTTTAATGAATACGTAGAACCAAAATGTAGGCTGAGTGATATCGTGAGAACTTGCAGGAGTATGTGCTGGGAGTGATTCTCAGCTACTATCATAACAAAATGTAACTTAATATCTATAAAACTGCTTGAGTTAGGATCGTTTTTGTGTTGGTTTCACAGAATTTTGGTTTATTCATGAGATTTGACTCGTAAGAAAAAAAAATTTTTTTTTAATGCTTTGTTAAATCTCTGTAACTTGTGAAAACGGCACTCGTAACGCTGACAAACCATGCCGGACGCTGCTCCTGTGCTGATTTGATTGGTTAATCTGGGTTAAGTGGAAAGGGGGCGGAGCTACAAAAGCATCAAACGCAAACAAGCAACACAAACAAGACGACCAAAGCCGGCCAATCATCACCTTCCCTGCTGGCAGGAATCAGCCAATCAGAGCGTGCAGCAGAGGAAACTTGAAACAGGCTGAACGAAACGAAGCGAACAAGACAGCAGGGGAATCATTTGGAGGAGAAAAGAAACAGGATATGAAGGAAAAAAGGCAAGAAAACGTACAAAAACAAACCCTATTATAGTCTTTAAGTGATTACAAGACATTACCAAAATATAAAAAAATAACGAACAGAAAAAGATGATTTTTACCATGATAGGAAGTTTCAGTTTACAAAACACAAAAGCTCATTAAAAATCTGCTTGTTTTAGAAAATTAGTCAATCTTGGTTTATGACGATTTTTTCATATATTTTTTAAATTTCTAATCAAATTTAAAATTTGTTTTGTTAAATTGTCCAATATCGTCTTAAATCACATGAACACTTTGGAATTTTTAATAAATTTTATAAAAATGCAACCACAAATAATGAGCCTTTGAATTTATAAAGTGATGTAAAAGATCACAAAATACAGACTGAAAATAAATAATTTGACTTAAAATCAAATTATGATAAATGTAAAATACTGTTTTGGTATTCTCAGTGCACATGTCTGCTGTGCAGAGTTAAAAAAGCAGAACGTAGTGATGAGTTTATAAATTCTCATATCGTCTCTGTCAGGAGTTTAGAAACCACTCTTCTGATGGTTTCACCGTTAGCAGATTTTATACAACAAAACGAAACCTTTCATAAATTATAATCCCTGAGGACCAAATTTAGATAGGTGACGTTTTATTTCAAAAACTCATAAGTGAAAACTCTGTAAGTGGACCAGCAGGACCTGAACACTGTTCTGTGTCAAGTCTGAAATACTGAAACCAAGGAGCTAAACTCGCTGCTAACACAGTCCTAAAGAGCTAAAGATTATTTTAAATTATATGTGATGATGTGCTTAAAACTGAATTACAAAAACAAATTTAAATTAAAAAAAAGGTTGTGTGGAGTACCTTTGAGTAGCCAGCATCTTACCTGCAGTGGATGGTAGCTGGAGGGAGAATGGGCCAGAATTTCCTCGGGGGCTAAAAGTTACTTAAAATAACTAATTTGCACCACTTGAAACAACTCACATTAAAACTTTTCTAGCATTTTCAGCAATCCTGTATAAAACATTTTGACCATTTTGCACAAATTAGTTGCTTATGTTGCAGCTAACTTGCTTAGTTGCAACAGATTAGTTGCTGTTGTCAACAACAGCAACTAATCTGCTGTTGTTGACAACTTTCTCAACAGCACAGCTGTGTAGATAAGCTAACTGCAAACACTGAGGCTGCTAAACACATTCTACCAGTTTTCAGCTGGTTCCTGCAGGTGTTTTGTCTTCACCTGTCACCAGAACAAGAGAAGTTGACCTCAGTTTTGTAATCACACTTTATTTTTCCTGTCTCTACTTGAATGTTTGGTGATTAAACTGAGAAAAAACGGATTAGCAGCAGAATTCAGTAGCGTCAGTGCGTGGAGTTAGCATAGCAACACTGACGTTTCAGTGACAGGAACTTATCGAACTTGACGTTTGTTTTGAAGCAGAGTTTTCAAGTTGCACTGAACAGATAATACCTGCCGTCTGCTGCAGGTAAGATACTCATATTTACTTCACACAACCCCGTTTCAAATAAAACTACACTCTAAAGGTGAAAATGTCCACTTTACCAGGCACTTTATGTAAGGACAAGCAGCTGTTAAAAATACTGAAGGTTTAAAGAACAACCTCAAAACGACTGCTGGTATTTATTGTTAAATCTGTTGAAAGAGAAGCTGGCGCAGGCAGCACCGTGTTGGTCCTCCTCCTACGTGAGCTGCTGGTCCAGCAGCTCCTGCTGGTCCAGCTGAGGCTCCTGGTAGATCTGCCCCAGCACCTCATACATCATGCAGAGCAGAGGGCAGCTCAGGCTCAGCAGCTCGAACAGGAACAAATAGTCATGTGAGTAGCTCCTGACGTGGGAGCCCACAGCCGCCACAGACTCACACACGCCTGCCACCAGCCGTCCAGGCAACACACACACAGCCCGACTAGCACGCCTCGGCCAGCTCAAACCTCGCCTAAGCAAGGAAACCAGGGTACCTGCGGGTTGGACTCGGCCCGTGGAGGGAAACATCCGGCTGTCCAGAGGAGAGGGTTTTATGTGGCTTTGGTCATCCTGAAAAACAATAAAAACAACAGTGCAGGAAATGACTAAAAAATCACTTATAAGAAAACACAATCAAATTCACTTTAAAACATATAAGCTTGTTTTCAGAGAAAATATTTCTTATTTTTGTTTTTACAGCTGCAAAATCAACTGTTCGCATTAGCTAAAATTATTTTAAAATGATATTTTTAAGGGATTTGAATCAATTTGAATCAG